TATGAGTTTTAAATCAGTATTTAGAATATTTTATAGTAAATCTAACGCTAATGGTTTTTAATATCAATCTTTGTAATGACAATATTTTATATTTATATTACTATACAATTAATGTTATAATTTAATTGTAGTGTTAATTTTCAATGTTGTTTTTTCTCTTCATTTAAGCAATAAAAATTAGATAATCGAGTTAGTTGTTTTTATTTATTTTATCATAAAATTTTTGTTTTACAATATGTAATTACTACTGTTTATACAAGAGTAAATTCATAATTGATAAATTGTTTAATTGTAATTTTATTTAATGTCAGAAAACACTTTTAAGCGCTTACAGCTGATATTGAATTATAACAAGATATCTTAAACAAATAATATTAACTGCTCTAACAATAAGTATATTTATTATTATAATATTGTCACGTTGCTTAAAACATATAAATTTTAAATTTTATTACATTTTACAATTTAATTTTCTGAAGTTTAAATATTTATTCAAGAGATGGTGCTGCTGGTATTCATATAAAACGAATAAAATACGTTTTTAAAATTTTGAAAATATTATTTAAGCATTTATTTTCTTAATAACTCTATTAAAATATAATGCTCGGTCTTAAAATAAATCTATAAAAGTTTTAATATAAATATAATATGCATAAATTATGTAGTATTCAGAACTCTTCAGATTATATTATTGTATATTTGTTAGATACATTCTTAAATGTTATTTTTATCAAACACGATACGTAATTTTCATAATTTTATTTTAGATAAAATAAATTAATTACATTTGATTGAAAACGGTTTATCGTCGATGACGACAAAAACATAACAATGGTATACACAGTATGATGACATTATTTGCTAACGGCAATGAAAAGTACGCACATACAGTACTGCACTGTTTGAGTGATAAAAATTGTGATGATCTATGTGGTTATAAATGGATTTAATGGCTAAAATTGTTTTATGTATTCCTCTGGCTTCGACAAATCCTATAAGGAGAACGTAGCCCGAATAATGTAAACGTATAAAAAATTTTTCTCAACAATTTGGCATCGAACTCAATGCAAACTTCCTACTTTATTCATTGTATTTAAGGATAATGTATTATATGGTCATACAGGATGTGAGCTGATGAGTGTATATAACAATTTTAAATATTTGAGCACATATCTAAACTTTGAATGAATAGAATATGAATCAATTTAAATTCAATCATGCAACATTTTAAATGAAATCGTGAGTTTAAAGTTTATGAATCTCTGAAGCTTGAATCTTCAGTACATAATTATTAATCAGCATTAATCGGCTTTTTTTTTATATATATTTAAATTTTATTTCAGAATTCTAACATTCAAATTCAACTGTTTGCCAAAAAATAGGTTAACCTTTAAGTATGGCATAGGAGTGCTGTTTCTAGCAACAATCAATTAATTGTTTGTAATTTGTTTTGTTAAAAAAGGTGTATGTTTTGATGCATGATTTCCATTATAATACTCATATTTTTTTTCAATAGAGTTATTCTACCCGTACTTACGTACAATTTACTCAACATGTCGAAGCGGAATCCTAAAAAACTCGATAAACGTACCTACCACATGCCGACGATTATTTTGTTTTTATTCATATAGAGTCGTTGAGCCGAGAACGTTTAAAAAAAAAAAAAAAATAAAAAGTAATTACAAAAAATTAACAAGCAAGTAAAAGTCACAGACAATGCTGTAAATAACCGAATACACACAATCGCAATTGACTACACGAAGTGTCGCGGGAAAACAACATCTTTATAATGGTACAGATTTGGACGATTTTGAGGTTATCTATTGCGATTTTGGCCATCAGCGTGAGTTTTTATACGAATATAATATATTATGTTGTATAATGGTCATAAGCGTAGCGGCACAAATTTAAAATTAACATTGTACTTAGTACGATAAAATATAGTATTAGTCTTGAATGTTTGTATTATACTTTTCATATTTCTGCTAAAAATTCGAAATATTTTCCGATTCTCTTTAGTATTAATAGTTTTTTGACAATAGCCGGTACCAGCCGGTAATCATATAAAGAGACAGACACACGTATCGCATGATTGTCGTTTGTATAAAAAGAAAAAATAATAAAAAATTAATTAACAACTTTTTTTTATTAATACTTGTCGATACACATTGTTCAGTGTAGTACTGAATCATAAATCATAAATTTCTGTTCACTTTTTAGTAAAGTTGATGAATTCGTGACACGTAATTTATAGCTATTTACCGATTTTCGAAATATTTCTTTCGGCATGATATTTATATTTTACATAAATTGAAGTTTTTTTTTTTTTAAATCACTTACGCTAAAAAAAAACTTTCAAAGCTTGTATGAATTCTAGTTTTTGTGTCCAAACATTGTTAACTAGCGTTATATATTTATTTTTATAATTAATTGTTTGGATAGAATTTGCTAGTAGAAGCTGGAAAAGCAACGAAAGACCGGAGAGAAAATTTGGAAATTCGTGCTTCTGTACATAAAAACGCATTAAAAACATATGGGGATGGATTTAAAAAACAGTTTGGTAATTCAATGAACGAAGAGGTCGCTAAACAATTGACTGATATAAATTATATTATTATCGACCATATTATGAAACACGAATCATTCCTAGCGTATTTGCAAAATGTATTTTTGGTATTACGAAAATATGCAGGTAAATAATTTTCATGAGTAAAACTATATTATTTTTAAAATGTTCTATAAGCTGGCATATATTAAGCATAATAATTTTAAATCAAAAAATATTATAAGTGAGAAAATAATGACATGTAGTAAAAATATATACTGTTATACCTAGTTGTTAAAGTATCAAACAAATCGAAACGAGCGTTTTTTCTTTCTTTTTTATCTTAAATACGTAGTAGTATAAACCTTTAACATTATATCTACTTAGATACGTGATTATTAGAATTGAGATATTCATTTAGATATTGTGTGGACCTTTGTATTTTAAATTTTAAAACATTTTTTAAAGCGCAATGTATCATTTCTTATAATAATTTCTTATGAATATAAAAAATATTAATTGGAATATCATAATGATATTGTGTTTAAAAGAAAAAAATACTAAATGTTCAATACGACCGTATAATAAGGTTATATCTCTATTCGTAATGTTTTTTTGCCTATAAAAAATTAAGTTTTAAAAATTAATTTTTATTACTACTCATTTTTATGTGAATTTTATTTTAAATTATGTTTATTTTTCAATCACCAAGCAGTTAATAAGTTAAACTTACAAACGAAATAAATATAAAGAATTTATATTTATGAAATATGAAATAATTTTTTAATATCATAAAGGTAATAGAGAATTTTTTTAATTATCCTGTAACTTTGAAAATTTCAATAACATAGCTCTTTGAACGTAATATATCTTTTTATTTGATTAACAAGAAAATATTTTTTGATTAACAACAACATACAAAAAACATTATGTATGCTGCGAACGTTGTAAACATAAAGTTAAAATTGTTTTCAACAAAGGGAGCATGATTATTATATGTTTTAAATAAAATTAAGCTTTTATAATAATTAATACTAAAACAAGATTTAGATAATATAAATATAAACGGGATGGTTGAAGTATGAAATAACGTTAACAAAGCGTTGACAGTGCTCAGTGTGTGCCGAGAAATGCGGTTGCTGATAGGCAAGTAAGAATCGCTAAGTAACTTTTTTGACGGAATAGGTTTCACTAAACTTCGTTTAGTGGCTGAAGAAATATCAGTAGTGTTTCCTCAATATGGCTTCGTGATTACTTCCGTACAACTGTTTGGAAATAATATTAAACATCATCAAGCCCAATACGAGTTATAGTTTTGGGTTATTGATTTTTTTATATGATGTTTAATAATGAGTTGATACCTTAGTATATTGTAAGCACTAAGCAGGTTGGTTGTTTTTTAAGGATACAATTTGTTGGGGTATTTTTAAGTTGTATGATATTTAAAATATCAATATAGATCATAGAGAGTAGACATGTGATTTACATTTTGGTATATCATATTACCATCTATGATGAAAGTTGCGCATCTCACTGTATCGACCTTAGTGATATTACTGACCATTGGTTGTAGGTATTCGCAATTATTGTTTAATGAATGTTTCGATTCATCATAGGTAATTTATGAAAAAAATAATAATGTTTTGTATGTATTTGTGATTTTTTACATTATATTAAAAACGAATAAATTACCAAAAATACTAATATTAAATATTATGGTTTTAGAGGGACAAATAAAATCAAGATATAAAAAACTTAATAAAATTTATAAAAAATGGAAAAAACAAAACTTTCCGGACCAAAAAAATAAAGCTAACGTTTTAAAAATACAAAATAAACAAGATAAAGAAAACAATGGTTTAGACAAAAAGATTGTGAAGAAATCCAAAAAATAAAAACGGTGATCGAATTAAACTTGTTACATAGGAGGTATAAACAATTTTATTATTTAGTAGTTGAAATTATGCTAATATAATATCTACCATGTATTTTAGGTAAATTTACAGTTATTAAAAATCATATACATATTTTATAAATTGCAGTTTTATTTTACCGCAGATTCTAATAAATTATACAAATTATTATACATTTATATTTATCATTAATAATAAACATATTAATATAGTATTACAAAAACTCTTGGTTTACATTATGCGTTTTTTTTTTTTAAACTAAAATTTGAGTTAACCAGTTAACCTCTTATGCTACTCGTATATTCATTTTGGCACATTATAGATTATGACTTTAAATTTGTATTGTATACTTTTTTTATACTGTTGATGTTTATAAGCCAAAAGATATATTACATTTAAATAAAAATGTATTGAAAATAAATATCCACATTTATTTTGAAAAAAAATTGAAGAAATTTGATACCTAACTGTTTAAAAAAATAATAACAATTTTTTCTTTAATGGTATAAGTTTTATTATATAATTTGAAAATACTAAATGTAGTAACTTTTCAGTATTTAATTTTTATTTTTAGGGTATTTTCAAAATATTTAGACTATTTATAAACTATGAGAATATTTTATACAATAAGTCAGTTTACGCTGTTTTACTATATTGCAATATTGACTTATAAGTTAATAGAAATAAGTTTTAATAGTAATAATTATTATATTATATTATTAAACATAAATATTTTAAAAAAATGTTGTTCAACACGTTGTATTATTTGAATAAAAATGTTTTATAATAATAGTAGAAAAAAAAATATTTTATATTATCTATGGAAATAAAGTGATACACTGTCTCCGCTTAGAATTCTTATTCTTATAAAGAGTTATTATTGAATATAAATTTAAGACATCAAATATTACGATGGAATAAATTATTATAATTAATAATTTGTCATCCATTTTAATTTACTTTTAAATCGAAAAGTACACTTTAAAGTTACTAATGCAGTAGAATGACTTTTAATTTTTTAACATTAAATTGTTCAGCAGATTATATTTTTTGAAAAACTAGCATAAAAAAAAAAAACACGAATAAACATTATTGAAATAAAAAACTTGATGTTTATAATACAGTAATTGCGTTATAATAGTTATAAATTTAAAAATAAAATATATAGTATTTTCATAAGAATACTTATTTTTTTAACAAACTATTAATATTAAAATATTATCTAAAAAAATGTATTATCTTTTTTAATTTGTCAAAGAACTATTATTCTTACTTTTCGTAGTTTTTTTTAAACTTAGAAACTACTCATTGGAATTTTTATTTTTATATCTGTTCTCCAGTATTTATAGATGTATACTATAGATACAAGTATATAACAATAAATTATATTATTGCCATTTCATAGTTAAACATTTAAAATTCTACTCGTGGATAAAACGATTATTCAAAGTCAATGTAATACACAAAGTACATAATATTATTTATACAGATTGATTATAGAAATCATGTGAAGTTCGAAAACTTCTAAATTTGATGATTACAGATCGTACTTGCTCCGCATACTAAGTACTCAATTTGTGATTCGTTATCGCATAACTTACAGAAACATCCGTGTCTGTTGATCGTTCTGTAGAAATAATAAGGATGCGTTCAAAATAGAGGACAAGGTTTCGTTTTCTATAATATCGTAATTATATTATTTTTGATTGTTCTATATAGAATTTTTTTTTATTTTTACGATTTCTCTCGTATTATATTTTATTCCAAAATTAAATTGCATCAAAAACTACTCGCTATATTATTACGCCATCTTATAAAAGCCAAGTTCTATCCTCGACAATAACATCTGTATAGCCTGAAAAATTAAAAAGCAAAATAAATCAGTGCACAAAAAACTCGTTAAAAAATTGCTATTGCTTTAGAACTATCGTTGTATTTCTAAATGTACCGTTTTCTTAGAGTTATTCACTATAATATGTAAGTTATATAAAACTTATTTAAATATTAAAAAAAATTTAAAGTAATTTTTTTCTCTATCTCGTAAAAACCAAAATAGTATTCGTATAAAGAGAACCAAGGTATCTCTTTTTCCTTGTATGCATTTAAAACTTATTCAATATAACATATTTTATCATTTATTATGCAATATAATAGATTAATAAGTAATATTTAAAAAATAAATGAATAAATAAATAACATTTATTAACTTAATAAACATTTGTGATCTAACTTTGATGGTATCTTTCACTTAATAAAATTTTCTTTCAAAGATAGCGAGCTATTAATACATACATAATATGTTACAATAAATATAATTTAACTAATAACTTATTTCAAAAAACTACATTCTGTTTGCACAATTAAACTGAGAGGAAATTACTATTTTCAGGTTTGTAATATGATAAAATTAAGCTTGTGCACAGTTTCGTTAAATAAATGTAATTTTATAACAAGCTTATAGTTAGTTGTGTAGTTTAAGGAAACCTATCAGTTACCTTTAACAGTTTTACCTAACCACAACGCATACACTATTGTACGCGTGCGCATATATTGTTGACAGTTGTACAAGTTGTCTTAGTAGTTGGTTACCAAATAAATGTTCACAGACATACCCTCGAGTACAAAATCTCAAATAAATTTACGGAGTAACTTCTCTGATTTAGAGAATTGTGTTATAGTCACTAAACACATATGATTTGTTTATTGTTAATACGAGTATATATTTCGACACTCATTTAATAATGCGTATTCTCATAACTTCAATGGCTATATGTATCACATATGTAATTACTAAATATATTATAATGTATTTAGAAGTATAAAATTATGCAATAATTAATAATTTAAACTACTGAGTATCATAGTATAACATATAACCATTGTAAATTGTACAATATATTACATGATATGAAATATTTAGCTAATAATTTAGTAGGTATCTTATATCAATTTAATTAGTTTATTGTAAAATGTTTTACTATAATACATTTATACATTATTATGCAGAACATTAAATATATAAATGAAACCACATTTCATGTTAATTTTTTTATTCTACTGATTTAATTTTAAGCCCAGAAAATAAGGCCATTAGCTGTGAATAGGAACAGTAAATTTTTATGTAGGGTTTGTAAGGTTGGATTATGTGTATGTATGTATGTGCGCCATAGATTCGTCACTAAGAACCTGGGTGGTCACCCATCCGAGAGCTTACAATGACGGCCGATGCCGGTCGAATGACTTCAAAACACATTGGTGACTGAAACCAATCACCACGCCTTTTAATTTTTATTGTTTTGTATAAACAATAATAATAATAATATGGAAGATTTGATGAATACTATAATTACAAATTAGGTGAAAAATCTAATGTTTGGCTGCACATTAAAACAGGCAGGTAAGTAAATACCTACCGTTCATTTAAACGATTTTATTAGGTGTCTTGTAAGTTACTGTTATAGGTATGTAAATTTTGAAAGATTTTTAGTGGAGACGATTTTAACAGTCTATACTATTAAATATATTTATGATGTATTTTTTATTATATTCACTTATTAAAGATTAATTTATTTTAATTTTAGCATAATAGTTGGTTTTAGATGAATATAAAATAATTTTTGAAAATATTACATTCATTATATTATTAGTATTTAATTATTATAATAATATTTTATATTTATGCCACATAATTATACCAACTTAGACAACTTAAAGTAATATAACACATTTTTATAAATACAATAAAATATTAAAATTAGGTTCATAGTACAAATCGATTACATATTAAAATTAATTAAAAATGTTCTATTTTTTACTAAAATTCATAATAATATAAATTACATAAATGTTTAGGTTCTCAATATATTTTTTTTTTTTTTTAATTATAAGAAGATAAATAAAATCATTATTTATTGTTTACATAAGTTATTTCATACAAATTTAAACTTAAAATGTATATAAAAATATAATTATAATATTTTTTTTTTAGATTTTATGTTTCTAGTATGAAATATTTATGAGAAGTCTTAAATTAAATTTTCAAAACTAAAATATAATAATATGATAGTAATATAAATACTTGTTGTACAAAGTTTTTATGGTTATTAATTTTCGAGTTAAAACAAAATTAAAAAAAAATATGTAGTGTGAAACAGGTTTAACGTAAAAATTATAATTTTTCTTAATTTTCTTTGTTTTTCCTAATTTAAAAAAAAAGAACCAACAATTTGAAATTTGCTATTCCAAACCGCCTTCAAAATTGGAAATCAAAACATCTTATTTGCTATTTATTATATACATAAATACAAAAAAAAAAAAAAAATCAATACATTCATTGCTCTGCTCAAAATTTAAAAATTTATCTATTAAATCATCTTATTTATTTTTTATTAGATTAAAATTATTATAAAAATAATATAACATAAAACTCATTCATATTTCATATAAACTATAATATTCTTAAATAAAGAATGATACAAAAGTTGAATTTATTTTTTGTATAAATTATAAATATAACAATGTACAAATAACATATTATAATTTATAACAATGCATTACGAAATTATAGAATAATTGCATATATGCATTTCCAAATAAATAAAATTTAGATAGTTATAATATTAACATTATTGCAATATTACTGTAAAAATTATACTAAACTATGTAAAATACTCGATTGTGTTGTATACGCGTTAATGTAGTGAAATTGCCTATACATATCATCGTGATACATGAAGACAATAATTTAATCATATTATAATATTATGTAATTTGGCATTGCAGTATACTTAGACACTAAAAAAAAAATTAATTTTTATAGTTATTCGTATTTATTAATTGACGTACCGGGAATTATGATTTATTTAGTCCAATCGTTTTAAATGGTTTATATTTATTATTAAATAATAGTATAAATAGTATGATTGTATTAACACTAATTTTAACTAATTGATATGACTGTAAAGACAACTATTAAATATTTATTTTTATTAAAAGTAATTACCTGATGTCATTAAAATTGAAGTTGACCAGAAGTTCCTAAACTTTTCCTAGTCATGGCGCTTTTTTAGAACTAT